TATAAAAACTGTGTATTTATTTAAACTGTTGATGAGCACGCTAATTGGGTCTACGATCGTTGCCTCAGCAGCTGGTCAACAAACCACACAGAGGCATCAACTGACATTTTACCAGACGCACTCTATGCGATAGTTTACCGATGTTCTTTAGTTCTAGTTAGGCGGTCGTTACTGCTCTTTTTGTCGGCGGAGTTCAATGCACTAGTTGTAGCGTCCAGTCGATATGTGAGCCAGAAGTATTAATCACAGCCGCATTGGAAACATCTTGAGAAGGTAAACAGATAAATACGCGCCTAATGAGTGGCTGTTTTCTTAACAGAGTATTAGATGTGTTTTTACGTTCGTTTAAAAAAAAATCGTTTTGTATTTATTTATTTATTTAATTATTTATTATTCATTTTAAATATATTTTTTTTCATCATTGCAGTAGTTATAGTGTACACAGAAAATAAAGAAAATTACTTAAGTAAGAGAACAATATTAGAACAGAAAAGTCACTGAACTTTCAAAATATACACTGAGGATTAGATCAAGGAGATGGTATCTGGCATTTTTAAGCACATTGTCGGATTCGGCTTTGCAAATGTCTGGTTGTCATATCGTCAAGCGTGCATCTTTTTAGTGATGAAGGAGAAGGATGTATTAAATCAGCGCCGTTTTCAAGCTAAGATTGCAACACAACTGATCGAAATAGGTGGAGTTAAGCATGGGCGACCAAGCATTGAAACAGCGCCTCTACCCAGGAAAAAAAGGCATTTACAAAATTTGCCTGAAGTAGTTGTGTGGATGGATAGTTTTTTTTCCACTTTGCTATTAAAGACAAAGTTCGTGAACGCTGCAAACAATGCCAGCAAAAGACAAACATCGTTTTGTCCATTTGTGGTTCACAAAACAAAGAAACTGTTTTAGGGCATTTCACATTTAAAAATAAGTATGTGGTAGAAAAACGTGTGAAAAACAATGATTATTTCCAGACAAGTCTTGGGTATATTGAGATTGTATATGTATATATATATATATATATATATATATATATATATATATATATATATATATATATATATATATATATATATATAAATATATATATACCACTGGAAAGATCTGTGTGTGTGTTGTGTGTTTCAATGTGTGTGTGGATGTTTGCATTGTCTATTAAATGTGTTAGGTCATGTTATGATTACAAAATGTGAACATCACTGAGCATTGTATTGTATTTTCTTTTAGTTATTTGTTTTTTACCATGTGCGCAGCTTGTGGTGACAGCACGGTCCATGAAGCCTTCTGTTCCTGTGACTCACGACTTCATCATCATCAATCAGAACGTCGCTTGCCTCACGATAAGCTTGAAAATACCCCTTTCCCTAGCCAGCTCTTCAGCCCCATGTGTTTTCAGTGCCAGTGCATCTTCAATATCCTGTATCCATCTTGTGTTGATGATGCGGATAACCTGGTCTAGTATGCATGTGTACAAGAGACTCAGTAAGCATGCATACAAAGATACAAACTGGCAAACTCCGAATAGAGCGGGTTGGCAGCATCTAGAAGTCACCTTTTAACCAGCTTTCTTAGCCGTACACCCCAGAAATACTGTTGTTAAAGGAAATGAAAGATCTGACAGCCTAGCTGTGTGTGCAGTGGTTGGTTTATGAAGATACACGGACAGGCATGCAAAATGATTTAGCTGCGTTCCAGAGATGTTGAAATAAGAGAGTCAGTGGCAAGGCGAGCTTAATTCGCATGTGTAAGCGAGGTAACGATTACACTGGGGATAGTATCATGTGACCACACTCCCCCCCCCCCTTTCCGATCGCTTAGCTATTGAGAATATGCGTGTAGATCTAATAACTGGTAGCTTTCACACGCGACAGTCACTGTATCATTTGCGTAAGCATGCAGATAGCGTTCTTTTCTCTACACTTTCTTCGTCTTCTTTTTCTTGTGTAGTCTCCCTAATGTCGGCTTTGTGGCTAAGTCGATGCGAACGCTTCGCTTCGAAATGCTGGGATGACGGGTTCGATCCCAGTTGCGGGCAATGCGCCTTGCGTTGGTTTCGACAGTGGTATCAAGAAAGCCGACCGTCCAGGAGCAATGGCAAACTACTGGACGTAAATTTGCCAAAAGAAACCACACAACAGCCAGGGGCTGTTAGGGTTGGTTTTGCAACGTCCTGTAAAGGATACGCAACTAACTTAAAAAAGTCTTCCTAATACCAGGTTGTAGCTTAGTGTCGTGGTTTTTTGTATTTGTCTCGCGCTTCTCGAGTGGGTTGGGTGATGGATTTGTTCATCATTTTTTTTTTTTTTCAGGTTTTTGCTACACCATTTATCTACACA